ATCCCCCAAATGCTTGTATTTGATAAATAAAAGATTTTCCCTTCCTCCATGGAAATCCAGAAGAAAATTAAAAAGCATACATATCAATATGAAAGTATAAAGAAATTATTTGGACATTATTTATATTTCTAAATGTATGTATTAAACACTGGGACTTTCATAGAGTTGCGTGACTTGGTGAAAAGTTAAGATTGATACTCAGCAGTGGATTGATTAATTTGAATGTGACAACCCTTGCAACATTAAAACTTAACGGCTTTTTCGTTTAGAATAAGTATCATTGATTGAACATGTTTCAAAACCCAAGTGTGGGGAAAACACTTAAAAGAGACTATGTCACCCAAGTCTTTCCATTTTAATCACAAACAACCCGACTTTTGAACCCCAGACAATGTCTCTCCATGCATTTCATCCTGAACTTTCCAATGTTTGCGTAACGCCGGTTAATTCACTGCCTAGTGAGAGCGCATGGCCTTGCCCAGAACAGGTGCCACAGTAAATACTCAGTGACTTGGATGGCGTCACACACGTTCTCTTGTTATTCTGCTTGAGGCTCTATGCCCACTTCACAGCATTCCAGCAAAAGCAGATGTAAATCAGGCAGCGAGTTTGTCACGTTTCCCTTGCCTGCTGCAAGCCAGGCTGGAAAGTGCTCACACAATGAACTTGTCTTCCAGAGCTTGTGTTGATATAGCCTACATCACCATCTCTGGCAAGGGAGGAAAACACCAAAAAAGGACTATGTTTTCCTCAGTATCCGTAAAACAACTGCCAGTCACTCTTCCCCCAAACCCAAAGCATATTGACATTGGCACAAAGAATTCATCTGTCTCTCCTGATGACCCAGCTCTGCAGGCCAGGGCAGGCTCTGCCAGCTTGCTTGCCGCTTTAGTGTTAGCTGGTACATAGATGGGAGGAAAACCCAGTAATTTCATTCTGATATAACACATGTAACTAAAGAAACCTCCACAGAATAGTAAAAAGCAAATGCTTTTGTAGATATTAATATATATACGTATGTGTATATGCATACGCACTTGCATATATACACACACGTGTGTGTGCGTGTGTGTATATATATATTTTTAAAGTAGGTAAGAGTGCAGGAGAGAAGTTCTGAGAAAAGTAAAGGAAAATTAGAGATATGGATGCTCCGAGACTCCAAAATGTCCCATGTAATCTTGGCCTAATGTATGATTTTTATAGGAAGCTTGGGGGGAACACTTCCCAATTCTCCAGTTTGATACTCCTCCCCCAACTATGCCAAAACCAAATGCAACACCATTAATGGCACGAACACCCCAGCTGCTAAATCTTAAGAACATAAACATAGATCTCCTTCATTATAATTTGTTAAATCACAATTAAGGACTAAAGTTTTGACCTTTAATCTATGACCTTAATTTAGAATATTTTTCCCTTTTGTAAACAAATGAAATAGCTACAAATTCT